TCTCCTGGGGTGCACTAGGCAGAGTGTAGCCAGGAGGTCGAAGGAGGTGATCCTCCCCCTCTACTCCACCCTGGTGAGCCCTCATCTGGAGAACTGTGTCCAGATCTGGACTCCCCCCATACAAGAGAGACATGGAGCTCCTGGAGCAAGTCCAGCAAAGGGCTACTAAGATGATGAAGGGACCGGAACATCTCTCCTATGAGGAGAGGCTGTGAGGGTGACTGAGCATTGGAACAGGTTGCCCAGAGAGGTAGTGGAGTCTCCTTCCCTGGAGATATTCAAAACCCGTCTGGATGTGATCCTGGGCAATATGCTCTAGGTGACCCTGCTTGAACAGGGAGCTTGGACTAGATGATCTCCAGAGGTCCCATCCAACCTAAACGATTCTGTGATTCTGTGATTCTGTGAAAGCTGGGATTGTTCAGCCTGGAGAAGAGAAGGCTCATGAGGGATCTGATCAGTGTGTGCAAGTATCTGAAGAGAGGGTGTCAAGAGGATGAGGCCAGACTCTTCTCTGTGGTGCCCAGCAATAGGATGAGAGGCAATGGGCACAAACCAAAACACCGGCAGTTCCATCTGAATGTGAGGGAAACCTTCTTTACTGTGAGGGTGACAAAGAATTGGAACAGGTTACCCAGAGAGGCTGGGGAGTCTCCTTCACTGGAGATATTCAAAACTCTCCTGGAAGCAATCCTGGGAAATATGCTCTAGAGGACCCTGCTTGAGCAGGAGGGTGAACTAGATGATCCACAGAGGTCCCTTTCAACCTCAACCATTCTGTGATTCTGTGATCTTAACACACTTTTTTCCTGATTTAAGTGTGCCTTGCAAATAGAAATCTTGTATTTATGTGCTGCTTTGAGATTTCAGTCTACGGCTATTTTCTTGCTGTGTATAAATGCATGTTGTGCCCATTACCATGGCTACAAGCAACCAGACAGTAGTTTGTGGTAAAAAAGCTTTGTTAACCTGGAATCGCTGAAGCTTAGTCATAAGCTCCTCAAGTTTCTGGCAATGTTCCACCAGCTGCGCTGACAATTTCTTCCAGCGGCCAAGGACTCCCTCAATCTCTGACTGATATTTCTTGCTGACTTCTGCAGGGGCTTTCCTGGACATCTCTTCCACAGTTGTGCTGAGATAGTTCAGGCCTTTTTGCTGTTCTTGGAGAGAACTTTGCAGAGCCTATGACATAAGAACAGTATAGTATTCTAAATCATGCACTGTGCTATTCTGAGCAAACTTCACAAATACAGGTGAGATTGCAGAGGAAAGGTCTGAATACTGTACATGCCACCTTTACTAAAGTATCCAATGACATATTCTACAGAGCAATTTAGAATTCCTTTTCTCATACAAGTAGGATTTTTAGCTTAAGTGAGAATAAAACCAATATATATATTTGTTAATATAGATGATCCACCATACTTCATTATTTAAGATAGAAACTTACTATGGTCCTACTGATTACACTTTCAACAGAAACAGACTATAGAGGGAGAAAAATAAATAATAAACTTAGAACTGCTTTCGTTATTCAAATTATTTGACAACTTATTTTCAAAACTTGTTTGATTCTTACCTGAAATTTGCTATGTCTATCTTTTTCTTTCTTATATTCTAACGTTTATATCTACATGTTCACTGCTAATTGCATCAAACAACATGGTCATTACCCATCAGACAGTAAAACCATCAAAATGCAGAGAAGCTTTTTACCCACTGGTAAAACTTGTCCCACATATGTGTCTGCTTAGAAATCTGACAGGAAATCTGATAAAGCACATGTTGCTTTTTCCAAAGCATAAATACTTTCATGTGAACGTTAGAAAATAAAATGAGCTAAATCTATACTTAACTAGACTAGAACTATCTTCAAAGGAATAATTCATATATCATGGGGACAAACAAAGGCTTTTCCTTAACATGTTTAATATCTCACAAGATTGGTTTCAATGCTGAAGGACATTTTCAAGGCTTTAACTTTTAAGAATCAATATAAATAAGTATTTATTGTCTCCTGAAGCCCTTGGCTAAATCCCTAATGGATATAAATCATCCAAGATACATAGGCTTCAACACACTCATGACGTAGAGCAGCCAGGGTGCTATTCCTCAATACATTTTATTTGGGAGGTTATTTTGCAGAGTTTGAACACTCACCTTGAGCTCCCTGAGTCTCTGCTCCATGATGTCATATTCAGCAACTGTAACCTGAGGCATGGAGAGCTTAGTTTCTGACTGCTGAATCCACAGAAGTAGAGTACTCATTGTCTCTTTATAGTGTACAGGAGGCAAACTGTCAAAAACTGCATTCAATGGGGAAGAAAAGGGAAAGAAATTAAATCATTTTTCACTTCATAATTTGTTTTGCTGTCAATAATACTGGAAGACTTCTGATAAAAGACCTAGCTTTTTTGAAGTCAATGGCTATTTTGCCACAGATTGCAATAGGCCCAGTACTTTAGGACCAGATTTTTCAAAGATTTATAGAAGCAGAATACTTTCAAAACATTTATGACATCTCTGTCATTTTATCAGCTTTGTATCATTTTGCTTTCTAGACCTATGATCACATCACAACCTCTGTGGCCAAGACAATCAGTTTAAACATATACATGTAGAGATCAACAGACAAACCATTGCATTTAATCTAAAATCTAATTTCAGAACTGCAGTAGGAAACAGTGTTCCCTTTTATGGCCCATGTTTGTGTGTTTAATGTTTCTGTTCAAGGAAAATGTTCTGGTTAAGACATCTGTTAAAAGCTTAGAAGATGAATCTCTCTTCTACATTAAAGCTGAATTTGATTGAACTGTGCTCATTAGACCAACATTACAGCTGCCTTAAATAGACAACATCTGGCCCAGACATGAGCAGCTCATTAGTGGAGTTGCTCCCTCTGCGCTCAAGAGTAGTTTCCTGTATAGTCATTGAGAAACGTACATACAAATAACATAGCTGGCTGGAAATGAATCATTTTCCAACATAATAAGGAAGTATGTAAAAACTCAAAAAATATAGAACACCTATCTGTATCTCCCATATAAGTCTCTGGTGATTCAGAAGTAACTGTACTGAAAAAAATGATATAGCTGTCCAAAAAGCAATTTTATCAAACACAGTTGGCAAAATTTTTAAGTGCAAGCTTGCTTACATAGTCATAAAACAATGCTTGGTAGAACGTACTTCTGATTTTAACTTGATTTTTTGGTTGACCAACTGAAAGCTACTTGAAAAAGTTATATTTTCCGCAGGCCCAATATACACAAACTCAGGTCCATTTAAGTTCTCCACTGTGAAGTATGCACACTCTCAGGTGTACTTTCTCCTTTTCAAAATCTTGGCTAATCTGACCTGCGACAGAGCTCTGGGGAGTTACAAGAGACAGGATTTGCTACCGTGAAAGACAAGAATTTCTTCCTTTGTGGTGTAAGCAATAATAAGATAAATTCTTGGAAACACAGAAAACAGGCATTTTCCATCTTATCACCATTCTTATCAGCAAGTCTATCAAAATGCCATTTTAAATCTTTTTATTTCCTTAGTTAATTTGTATTGTCTGTGACTCATTTAGTCCAAACAATTGCAACTTTAGAATAGAACATTCATTTAAACATATCACTCCAAGTGAATGGATATATTATTTTTAATAGCTTAGATAGATAAAGGAACATAATACTCAATCTGAATTTTTGCTTAAAAATATGAAATGGGGTTCAGTATTTTGATGTAACCTTTGACTTCCATAAGTAATAATTTTTCTTTTAAATGAAAAACAAATCTTAGGACTAGCATACGACTTCAAGCAGCTACATAAAAGAATAGATATTCTCAGTATTACTGAAGAGTATCTCAGAACAGATGAAAAACACATGAGATTTGCTGTTAACAATAAGCTCCACAAAACTGCCTAAAACTCTTAGCCCAAAAGTTTGCCAGTAAGAATAGTTTAAGAGCCAAACAAACATAGCTAGCATTTTCTCCAGTTTTAACTAATATGTTCTCCACTATTCGCAGGACTAAATAAGAACTGAAGTTGGATCAGAGATATTGATTTAAACTAGTTAGTGGCTTTCCAATTTGATTATTAAATATTCCATTCAAAAAACACTTTTAAATTCAGTGAAACAATACTTTTTCCACTTCATTTTTCCAGACTACTAATCATGAAATACTAATTCACAATGCCTTTTGCTGAGCTAGATTTTTCTATGATTGACAATATATCAGCATTTTCGTTCACAATCAAACATATGAACACATTTTCAGATTAAATTTAATAAGTGCCTATATTATTTTTCCTACTCATGATACCAGTGACTAGAACTCAGTCAAACTCCTACAGCGGGAATCACGTCACTTAGTTTTAGCTGGCTAAAATACACATTTGGGATCTCTCTGTAGTCAGTATGAATCTCTAAAGTCCCCATACTCATAACATAGAAACAAATACAGCCATGTTTATTTTTATATTAGATTTTGCTAGGTGATACTGATGTTTATGGATAGGAGTCGACATGAGAAGCACAGTGTATTAATATGGATTCTGCTATATTATATGAAGAACTGAATTGATATAAAGCTATAGCATGTCCACCACCCAAGCTATAGCTTCAGTATGCTCATGACAGGATTGTAACAACACATTACTGAGGGAAACAAACAAATATGTTACTGTGAAAAGCCAAAATACAGTTCACATTCCATATTATAATAGAAAATGTTGCTGCATAATTCTATTCCACTCTTAGGGAAAGCATTCTGGTGGGACAAATGCAACCCTTGGAAGCTGCCAGGCAAATATATTTACAATTGCTTATTTATTTAAGAGAGAGGGTACTTAAATTTGGAAATTAAATGTGCAGATAGTTATTTGGTTATCATATATTTTTAGTAAGCAAAAATACTTAAACATTTGAGACTAGTTCTGCACATAAGCAGAATATATTTCTTCATTTCTCCTCCCAGCTTCCCTTTTTGACACTAGACTTCCAGTCAAAACTCTTTTCCAAACCAGGAATGAAAAGAGAATATAATTATCTCAACAGATATCAAATCACACTGGATACTCTACCCTGTGCTTCTTCTATAGTCAGGACAAATCTCACTATTCATCACAACATTGCGAAAGGAGAAGAAAGGCAACAAATACAATCTGTGGGATCATTTCAGTAGAGAGTCTACATTGAATTGCGTATATTTCCAATAAAAATATTTTCAATAGCAGCTGTAACTGTTTAAAACCATACGTAGTTTTTCCCAAAACCTTTGTGTGGCTTATTTCATAATACATATCTTTGAAGGTATTCATCAAAGTCTAGCTCTTGGGAAGCTCTTTTGCTTCTTCTCCTGTATTGATGGCTTCATAAAAGCTGTGATTGCCTTCTCTCCCATCTCTTTTCCCATCATCAAAGTCGAATCTTTAAGGGTCTTACATAATATATTATCAATTTTCTGCAAGTGTTTTAACACTTCTAATTTTCCATTCATTCACCTCTTAAAAGAAATCATAAAGAAAGAGCTTCTGCACTTCCATAAGATTTAATGTAACAATATATATTTCTCTAAATATGCAAAATTTTGTAGGTGTTTTATTTTCTATACTTATTAGCTTGGCACAGAGGAAAAAGGCTAAATGGCCTGCAGAGTAGAGGAATTATCTAATACTGGTTCATTTCATAGTTCTTTTTATTTTCTGTTTTTATTTAAGAAAAACAATTACCTGAGGATGCAATTACCTGGATGCCACTTACTAAAATACTGTTTTCTCACAGATAGCTCAGATTTCATCACAAAAGACAGATTAAAAGAAAGCTAAGCAAACAACTTTTTTCCTCAAAACCAAATGGAAATAATAATAATAATAATAATAATAATTATTATTATTATTATTAAACCATAGTTCAACTCTGATAAGTCTTAAGACTAACTTGCAGTTATGACATTTACAGTACATATGCTTTAAATTTTTATTTCCCAAGTACACAATGATTAGAGTAAAATTATTGTACATACCATAACAATTTCACTGTCATTCATATCCCATCTCTAAGATACTTAGAGCATCAAAGTAAGTTAGTAGTTCAAACTTTAAACAAAGATTAAGAAAAATGACAAATTAAACCTCCAAATGATCATCAAACTATTATGGTTACTGCCGTTTGTTACCAAGTTATCCTGAGACTGAGTTGCATGAACTCTATGAAATGCAGCCTAGTTTAAGACACCGTACTAGCTGACTAGGGAGAAAAGTGGTGTATCTGCAAAATAGCAATAAAGATGGGGTGTATAAACAAAATGTCTAAAAAATCTTGACATGACACAGAAGGTAAAAACCTTGCACAGGCCTTTCTGAAATAAACAGGAGAAACATCATTTGAATGCAGGTGAATGGTTCATCATTAATAATAACAACAACAATAACAACTTCTCCTTTGGGAATTACTGATCCTGCCAATGTAGAATCAAAATTTGAAAGGAAAGCACAAAGCATGAATACTGAATTTGTTAAGCAGAGAAAAATATCCATAAACATAACTTCACCTTTCCTAGCTCCACCTTGTGTTCTTAATTTCACCTGCCACAAAAGCTAGTTTTTACTTTTTTCAGTTATTTTCTAAAGAGCTAATGATCTCCCTGCCCTCACAAACTCGCTTGAGAACAGTTTTGTCAAACTGAGCACATATGAAAGCTTTGCATTCAAGACTATAGCCGGACAGCAGCTCACTGCAGCCAGACTGAAAAACAGAAAAGCTTTAATAGAGCTCAGTGCCATCAGGGAACAGCATACACTTTGGAACGAATCGGCAACTACCTGGGACATGGTCTGAGCCCGGGAGTACGTACCTGACACGGTCAGCTCTCCCTCTGATGAGAGGGAATGGAAGGGGGAGGCTGACCAGACTGCTCCCGAGATATCTCTCTGGCACGGCAGCAGTTCATTTCCAGGCAAGTAGATACAAAGCCCAACTTCTCAGTCTTCACCAAGGCAATTACAGAACTAAGAACTACCTTGGGAAATCACATTATTCATATTCAAATGATTCCCAGGATCGCCCACTCTGCTCTCTTGTGTATACCACTGAAGCATTGTCTGTCCTCTATTTTTTCTATATACCAGTACTCAAGAAACTACTCTAAGTATGGTTAGGGGGAAGCCGAATGACAGCTACATCGTCTTCAAAAGGATCAGTTAGTTATGGATATATTGACAGTCTATGAAGTAAGAAAAAAAGCTTCTATTTCCTCATATTTTATGAGTTGTATTTCTTCCATAAACAACACTGCAAATTGTGAAAAATCCAAATACAACAGATTTTAAAGGTTTCATAACAAGAAATGCTAATCAAATGATTAGGAAAAACTTTTCAGAAAAAATGAAATCATCTCTAATATTTTATTAAGAAATCTACTGTATAGCATAAAGAAGCTACTAAGCAGTCATGAACCTAAAAAAATCAGTGAAAATATGAGGAAGGCAGTCTCCTCGAACTAGGGGAAATTATGAGAGGGGATAAAATTCCCTTTGAGACAAACAGAATCACAATATTTAAATATTCCTATCCATTAAAAAAATACTGAAGTAATGGAACATAATAAAAAAATTATGATGACTCGGGAAATCTTGTTAGCACATTTAGGATATATAGCACAGGGAAGAAAAAAGGAACAAATACTACCACTAATCTACAAAACTATTCAGTCTTTTAAAAAATTCTCCTATATATAGAAGAAATTAACTACAAAGAAATTATGCAAATGAGGTAGAAATCTCTAAAATGCTCAGCCATGTCTGTTAAACTACAGCTAGAATAAAGACAAGGGGTATGGCCTTTTTTTCTATCTAGTTTAAACAAAAGAAAAGTAGTCACCAAAGACAGAAGAAATTAAAACATAACTAAATTTTCTCAGCTTCAGCTTCTGCTTTTTTATATTTCTTGATTCTCAAAACCTTCCTGAAAGAGGATTATACCTAAAGCAATATCCCAAGCATGACTGTTCCTATGTAAGGCAGAGTTATAACTGGAAATTAGCACTCTGGATAAAATTCTGTGTAATATTCTGAAGATAAATAAAACATAATTGACATAACCACCTCACATAATATATCACAACAGGTATGTACTGTATGGAATAAAACAATCTCATCCTGACAGCTGAACCACTTGAGCGGAAGCTCTTGAGATGCAAAACAGCTGCATAAAATAAGATTAACAGACCAGACTCACTTTTCTAGACCATGTGGTGCTGGGGAGCACTCATGGGCTAGCCATCTCCCAGGAGCAAATGAAGGAAGAGCAACTACAGGGAAATGGTATGGAGGCTACATAAAATACTGCCTTCTATTCTGTACGAGTTGAGGACACTCATCCCCACCTGTTCAGTGGTGCCTCCTCAGGACACTTACTTATCTGGCTGGACAACAGACTGGAGGTGCATATTGCAGCACAGGAGTGGGAATGAACAGCAGCAGCTGGGAACTCCTTAATCAAAGTTTATGAAGTTGCAATCCAGGCAATGAACACTACGTGTTTTACCAGACTAACCAACAGTTCAGTTCATAAATTTTGCTATAGCCAAATTAGGTGAGGTAAAAAGAGCACTTACATAAAATCAGATATAGAAGAAATCATTAAGAAGCTAAAATTTACAATATTTTCCTGCTGGTAGAAAGGCAAATGATTTTAAACAGATAAAATAATGTGGCATTAAGAATTTTTAAATATTATCCATTGTATGGCTTAACTTTAGAGTCATGAATAAACTTTTTACTTCTCTTCACTCATTTTCTACAGTTCAGTTTGTGCATGCGTATGTAAAATAACTACAGCAGCACAAAAAAGATGCAGCATAACTGAAAAAAATATCTTTTAAAATGAAATCATTCCAAACGTCCCCAGGAAATAATTCAGTAGGAATACTACAAAGATCCACTAGAAGGAGCTAGAACTATGTGCAATTTCAGAACAGTACAGTCATTTACAGATATCACTGCTTGAAAGGGAAAAGTAATTCCCTTATTGTTGAGATAGCTCTAATTTATGCTGTAATCTGACATTTTATTTTTAATTTCATAATCAAATAAAGAAAGTATAAAATAGTCACTAGCATGATTATATCTTTAATCAGAAATAAAGTCAACTTTCAGTTTTGGCATAGCATTTTCTTCCTTTTGAAAAATATATACACCTATTCTTTGCATGTTAGTAAAGTAAATTGATTTCTTGCCATGAACACTTACTGGTCTGTAGCTGCTTTTCTCTGGCATGCATGTCAGCAAGTATTTGTTTGAAATGGTTGATAAAAGCAGCAAGGTCAGCATCCACAAACACTGGCCCTTGTTCTCTTTCTTTCAGTGCTTGACTTTGAGCCTTTAGCTGTTCAATTTGAGGCTGAAGGGTTGATAAGCGGATGATTTCATCCTGTATGTTAAAATAAAAAAAAAATCAAGATAAAGCCATGCAATAAATGATCTTTTTGCCATGAAATCACTAGTGTTTTGATGCACATAAAAGTTGTTTTGCTTCCAACAGCACCAGTAAAACTAAAAGCAAATCCCATCAGCATTTTTAATCTTTTCTCACAAATCAATATTTCTTCTCCCAATATGATGCTCTTACTATTTTTAAAGTAACTTTTGTATGCCATTATCATTTCAGTACTGTAATACTCAAAGAAAGTGGGATAGGTTGTTTACTCAAACTGCATGCCTGAGGAGCTTTCCTTCCATGTGGAGCTTGAAAGACTAAAAACAAAAAACTTCAGTTTGAGAGTTTCTGGAACCAGGGACTTCGTGAAGTCAAACTTCTATAAGTATTTCAGGCAGTTTATAGTTCATTACAACATCTGAAATTACAGATCAGATTGATGTCAAATAATATTAGCTTGTAGGCAGGCAAAGCTCTCAACTTTTATGCCTTTCCTCACAGGTTGACCAGATTTCTAAAACTGGTATTGTATTTATGCTCCCTTCAAAATTCATTCCCACAGAGTTGTCTGCAGTAAGGAAGACAAACAAATTTCTACAGCTGTGCAGCACACAACACTGAAAACTTTCAGGAAGAATGAGTGAATTGGTACGACTGGTTTTGTACAACTATTGTGAATCTGTCATATGATGATAGGAGAATATTTCTCCATTGACTGCACAGTCCACCCTGTATTAAAATGCAGAATATATAACACGTAAGATGGGCTGCATAGTAGGATTTTGGACTTGACCATGAAAACAATTTGCAGATCTTGATCATTACAATAAATGTGATAAGCAACAGTTTCTTAATGAAGAACCAAAGAAATAGAGCCATGCAGAATAAAATAAGTAATTGTTTAGGTGCTTAGTTCCCTAACGTTAGGCACCTATATATCTTGAAGTAACTAAACATTTAAGGCCATTTTAAATATCCATATACTATGTTCTTATGTTCTGTTGCCTCTTTACTTTGATGAGTTTCCATTCCTGGAACATATATCATCAATACTTATCTTGGAAAGATAAGAAGTTAATTTTCCACTTTTCTATTGAAATAGTGTATGCCATGATCTAGCCAACTGTTGGAACACATATGAAGCGCAATATAACAAAAAACTTTAAAAAGATCTCTAACCTTGCACCTTTCCAATTGTGTTTTTACTGTAGCAGAATCTGTTGCTGGTGCGGGTTGTGCTTTCAGCCAGTTTTCTGCAGTAATTGCTGTCTGCTCCAGTTGTCGCAGCTGGGAGTAGAAGTCAATGATGTTCTTCTGGTACTCCAGCCATGCCAGTCTTTCACTCAGTAACTGACAGAACTCAATCCAGCGACTCTTCAGCTGCTCTGAGGCTTGTCTGATATTATCAGCATTAAGGCCCTCTAGAAAGAAAAGAAGGGAAGTTTGATACTTAAAGATAACTAAGTCACAAAGAAAAAAATAATTTCATAATTCAATTTCTGTATCAAAGCTCAGAAATCCAGATAACAATTTATTATCAAATAGCTCTGAACATACAGACCTTACATATCAGTGGAGAAAGCATTTCAAAACTACTTTCAGTTGCTGTCAGGGAACTTTTGTTACTATGGGAATGAATTATAAAGTGCATTAAGGTAACAGAATGGGAATGAAGCAGAAAGTGGAGATATACTATATAAAGACAGTTAAAACTGCTCTAAGAAATAAGAAAATGCATGACAATTGGATGATGAAAACATTTTGGATTGTGACTAGATATTAATGCTTAGGAATGTTGGGTACAGTTTAAGTGTACAAATGATCTAGATAAAAAAAATACTAATTTCAAATGAACGGGAACTAGGTTCCTCAGTTATTTTGATATTTTTGACAATCCAACTCTTAAGTTTAGGGTTACATGGTATTTTAGGGTTACATGGCATTTTAGAATATAATCATAAGCACTGAAGAATGACCATGTTGCTCAGATCAGATTTCCACCTAGGCTAGTCCCCTGTCTCTGACAGTGGCCATCAGAAGACATCCAACCAAGCCTGAGAGTTAAGAAACCACATGACAATTTGTTTATTTTCAGCCAAGAGTTGGTTTGTCTGATGTAGTTTGCCTGTTTCTGTTTACTGTTCAATAATCATTATTAAATTAAGGTTCAAAAAGGAAAAGTAATCTTGGTTATTACAGACAAGAGAATTATTTAGAATTAACCAGAGGTAAAAGAGTTCTCTATATTATATGAAGAGAGGAAGACAATATATACCAAGGGTGAACCAAGAGGGCTTACAATAACATCATTTATAATTTTTCAGAAATTTGGCACTCAGGTCAAGTTCAAAATAATATTAACTTAGCATTTAATTTATCTGTCAGGCAGGGTTTAAATATAACCCCTAACCTCTTTTTACTGGCATGACTTGTAATGCTACATATAGCAATAAGACTGATACTGATTTCAAAATTAATAAAGTTCTCAATCAAGTGAGTAGTACTGAATGTTTAAATACATTTTTAATAACGTAATCACTGAGTCATATAACAGTATAACAAGAGGCATGTTCTCATCAAAATAATCAAATTCATGTTGGTTTTTTTGGTATTTTTTAAAACTAAGTTTAGATGCAAATAAAACAAAAGACTTCATCCCTATATATGTGATTTTTGGCATACCTATGATATGGTTTATATTATACTTGCATTCCATACTCCCAATAAGCTACAAATTTTCTTTATCAGGCATGCGAAATAGGAAAGTTCATCTGCAATTGTTGAGAGTAAAACTTGGAAAACGGTGTCCTAGCTATAGCTAAATGCCTTTTAAACAAAATATTAAGGTGATCTTAGATTGTGACAAAATTTCTAGGGAATTAGTATAATGCACGTTATATGGTAAATCATACTAAACCATAGTCTGGGATCATACTGTCTGCGGTGGAGCTCCACAGTTCCCTGGCAAATACTATTCTGAATTCAGCTTAGGGCTATTCCATTCAGCGTCACTTGGAAACAGACTGTGCACCTGATAGCTGTTCTCTGGACATGTTCTGTTTCTAGGATATTGCCATAGCCAAGCAAATTGTACATGATTTCACAAAGTAGAAGCAAAAATGTAGAAAGATAGGAGGCCCCACACTACCAAGATATAATGGCAATTGCGGTGGTTGCAGAAGCTACATATACATACTATACTTTGTAAACTGGATGGCACAGTTTAATGGCTGAGCAAGGGCACAAAATGAAGTTTATAAAGCATAAGGAGGTAAACAGTGTTTTGGCACATCTTCAAGAGTAAAATCCATCAGCGGTCTAGCCTTTTTTTCTTCCTTTTTATTTTTCCAACAGTAGATGTGGTATGCATAAAAATTTCATTTTTTTAATGATTAATACCTAATTAAAATATAGCAACATGTGCAGAGGCAGCATGAACCTGAAAGGCATAGTATGTCTGAAAAAAAAACAATCAAAGATGATCACCCATATAGATACTGAATAACAGGAACAGCAAGAAAAAAAGCATATTTAGGAGACAAGCTTTTAATTATGCTATATTTCAACAATTGCTTCTTTCTGGTTGTGACTCTGGTTATAAAAATGCTGCATACTCATAACAGAGAGCAAATATCCTTGATGCTGTGTTCATGATTACCTCTGAACTCCAGGAGACACTACCTAAGAGTTTGGTAGAGAAGAAATTAAAAGATTATTTTTCTTTATTCCTCGCTTCCTCCCTTTTCAGGTGTCACAGTCTCCAAAGTACCTTTAGACAAGATTATGATTACCAGGGGCAGGATGCAGCCATGGATTCTCCTTAGATAGAAATATTTTTCCCTGTAACATTTTTTTCAAGGATCGAGACAGGACTACGTTTCAGGTCAAAATCTGGATTCAGCAGATCCTCTTTTCTTCCTTTCACTCCTCTTTCCCTCTTAATATAATGTTTAAATACGTGAACACATCTTTAATTTGTATCCAAATGTTGTGTCTAAATGTGATTCCACAAGTGCACAGACCAACAAAGAAATGCTTTTGCTGCTCGCGTAACTGAAGTAGGAAGCACAAGGTGGAATGGTGCGGAGCTGTGGCTAGTAAGATAATGCAGAAGTGCACCTCCACTAGGCAACACAATACCCTGGCAAAACTCATCTGAAAATATCTATGGGATGCACCCTTAAGCCTCTCTTAATTCACAGACAGCTCAGGTAACTTTAAATTTGCCTATTTGATGTTTCTATGTCATTTTTTCAGAGGAATGTAAGATAATGAATTACCTGCGCTTCATAAATATTTTCTATAAAAGTCTAAGCCGAACGATCAAAGAGGTAACAGAAAGACAATTCTTGCCCCAGCCCAAAATATATATATGCCATATGTATTAACCTGTCTTATTTCTCTGGCTTTCACTTAAATGTTTCTACACAGTACCATTCAAATTGGTATACCAATTGATCCAGACTCTAATCCAGAACTGGAACTTGGTCACATTTGACTTATTTTGAGGAGTTAGTCCTCTTTCTCATTTAAAATGACAAATTAATACCTATTTGGATAGTTGATGCAATGAGAGTATAACTAAATTGGTGAAAATCAAGAATCTGAAACTCATTTCCATGACAAGCATTGATTTTTTTATTATCTTTAGCAGCTTTGTCAAACAACATTTTTCGTTCATGACATTAACATCAGCCCTCTTATTCTGTTTCACTCATGGCAGCAAGATATACCGAAAGTTGACAATCAGGTGAAGGAACACTATAAAACCTATTGTCTGGTAAAACATTATTATTTTAGGAATAATGGCTTACAATCTTTTCATGTTTAATATTCTAAAAGCTGCTGATATAATCAGTGAATAAATATATTGTACCCAGAGGAAACAGATCATTACCCAAAGTGCATCCATTAATTTTATTACCTTGTGTACTACACATAACAAATTGTGTTTGAATATTTTTAATTGTGCAGCACCTTACAGGCAAGTACTTTGGAATTGCCACTTAATATGAAGTATACCTTATTAAGTGCATTTATCATTTGCTATGGATCTGTGATAGCATAAAGTAATATTATCTGTGTTTTTATAGCTTTTGACTCATAATCATACGTGAAATGGTAACTCACAATGAAACAAGATAATCAGTTTCCTTCTTAGAAAAGAGGCACTTAATAATAAGTGTTTTATCATAACAAACGCATTTGTATTCACTTTAGTGCTGCCTACCAAATTTCTCTGAGTAGTCATTTTGATGCCCTACTATTTTATTCTAAATTACTACTATAATAGTCGTGCCCACTCAAACCCCTAAACTTTTTCACTGTTTCATAAGCAGATTTGTTATTCTATTTTAGCTAAAAACAATGGAAAAGAGGAGATGTAAGCTTTCATTAATTGTGATAATCAGACATGGTATGCGTCTTTAAAAGCATGGGCAAGGAGAAAGCTCCACTCAAAAGGAAGTTACACTCAAAATCTTTTTATGGGCAAAGAGGAAGCATATCCTACATATAAAGCCGAGGATTTATTGATAGCATAATTTAAATCTTAAGAGTCTAATAATTATTAGCTCAGATCTAATCACTATGAAAAAAAAAGAATGATATCGCAGTTAAAATTGTTATCACTTGACCTTGGACATCACAACTGATCTACACCTTAAATCTGCTTGCCCACAGCAGTCTTTTAGACTGTACATGTACAGATTACACTGTACATGCATGACAATCATCAGTTATTTCACTGAATCGTTTCCCTAAGAAAATACTACACAGAATAATGATGGAAGCACATCATTTGTGGTTTGTAAATTCTGACTGTGAAAAGTTAAAAAGATTTTTCATTCAAGATAACTTAATATATTTTCCCTCCACTACATGTTAAACTATGTGTGTCTCGCTCAGATGGAAGAATGCACTTTCATTCCAGTCCCTTCCCACTCCATGAAGAATAGTTCCAGCAGTAGAACAGGAACGTGTATAGGTATAGTCAGTTTGCTCTGTTGAACTTTATTTTGGAGTTTCAGTAAGCAAACTTTCCTATGCTGTACTCTTTCCTTTCATTCTTAGTGAGATCAGAAAATCAACAGATATCAAGAAAAAGTAACAAAGAGACTAAGCCTGCATGTCCCAAACACATTTTAGCAAGCCATATGGAGACTAAAGAAAATTATCTGAATTACTGTATAAAACATAAAGCTGCTTAAGTTCATTATAGCTTGAGATGTAGATTTAATGTTCTTTACATTTCCTTTAGTTCAGTAACAATTTAGACATAATCTCATTTTTTTTCTATTGCATAAAATCATAATGAACTGGAAGATAAACAGAAAATTCCTTGTACTTAAAAGTACAAAACCTGAACACTGCAGTTAACTTCCTCTAGATTCAAAGTGTAATGAGATAAACATCTAGTAAGATATTGCATCGGCAACATCTTTGTTAAAATCATCTTACAGTTCTCCTCAACTAATGTTAACTATTTAACTCTACTTGCTACCACTTTCACCTCATGCTGATTATTGCATCTTTTAAACATTTCATACACTGTTCTTGAAATGGCCTTTGCAGCTGTGGAGGATCTGAAAAATCCAATAAGCATTTTAGGATTAAAGGCTGGAGGAGCTGTTTCCCTTTTCAAAGGAATTGTTTCTTCCTTAAAACCATCACAAAAAAGGAAACTTA